AGAAAGTGGCGTACCGTTGTAGGGTCGCGTCCGAGTATTTTTGCGATTTGAGCGGCATTTGTGGTGTCCATGTACGCCAAAATCTTCCCCTTTTCAATTTCGTTGAGCTGTGTATAGGTGGACACCATTTTTTAACCTAAAGAAATTATAGTGTTGACGAAGTGGCAAAAGATAAAGAAAGCGATGTTTATTATCAAAAAAGGGAGAAAACTTTGATAAATGTATTTTTAAAAAATGGTTACACAAGTAAATCGGGCGATACTTTTCTGTGGGCACTGTACATGTTAGTGCCAGTTCTTAAATCGAAAATAACTTCAATTATCGTACCATACAAAAACGTGCCCGGGCAAAGTTAATAAAAGAGGAAGGATAATTACTGTGAATCATGTTATCCCTCTCAAAAAAGATACGACAAATTTTCTGATTTTTGCACTAACCTTTTGGGAATCAAAGAAAAATTTCTGTATAAGCAAAAATACTGTATATAGTATAGAGATTAACTCGATGCAAAGTTTCGGAACTTACAAATTTGTCCCAAAACTGAAAACCTAATTAAATATCACATGTATATATTCATTAGCTTAAATTTATCTTTCTGTCTATTTCATTAATGGAATGACGAAAGGTTTCGTCATTCGTCAAGTAATTTTGTTTTGACTAATCCTATGACTATGCTTCTTTATGTAACATTATACATGCGTACATGTAGTTCATTATACATGTACATAGTTAATTTTAAAATCGTGAAGTTGTAAAATATATAAATTTTATTAGTATAATTCTTTATATTACATAATGCATAGAAATTAATTGGATATTTTCTTTTAATCTAATCTCATTTTAATCTGTCACAATAAAAAATCTAATTTTCCCGTCTTGATCAGGAGATTGTTTATTTGAAAACTTTATAAACAGTACAATTCTTTATTTAAAAAAGTTTTTGTTGCAGTAAAAACCCCAGTTTAGTTAATTGTCACAGGTTTTGTCATTCGTCGTAATGACATGGAAGTTGGATGTAGCTTCTGTATATGAAATTACCTCAAGTTTAAATAAACGCGATATAGTTAACTCGTTTTGTGCTCATGTTCACTTGTAATAAAGCAAAACTTGTATGCGAAACAAACAAAAAAATAATGATTACATTTTATATTATGGTCGTCGTGTAATACAAGAAAAAAAATAAAAAATTGCTTAACGAAATGTAAAGTAAAACAACGTAAATACGAGTGAAAAACCATAAAGAAAATAAATAAAAAAACCTCCATGCTTTGAAAAAAATACATGTACATTACAGTCAACTCTTTATATAACGAACACCTGATTAGTTCGTTATAGAAAGAGCGGACACTATAGAAAATACAGTATAGTAGCTTTATATAACGAACTCTTTTTTTTAACAGAACCATCAGCTTGTTATATAAAGAGTTGACTGTATATTTATTATATTTATTGTTATAGGATTTTTATTGATAGCCATATACATGAACATATAAATTGTACAGCGCACAAGTTTAGCAGAAAATCGATGCGCGTACTCGAAATAACGCGTTCTTTCGCGAAATACGGTAAAAAACACGAACTTGATGTTTGTAATAGAAATGATAAAAATTTATAGGATCAATTCAATAAAAGTACTTAAATATTTCGTCGTTGTTACTATAAAGAACGCGTCATAAAATTATAATACAAGCAATTTTTTATTTCATAATTTTCTACGTAATACATGTACATGTAATCGCATTGTTACCTTTCATTTACACCGACAATTCGAATTGTCGTGTGATGTATGTGTCTAAATACATGTGTAAGTATGTACAAAAATATATTAAATGCACATAAGATGATGCATTAAATTAAGAACGATAATTGAAAACCAATAAATACCATTCGGAATGAAAAAGAAAAAATTACCCATTTCTTCAATAGTTTTTGAGATCGATCTACTTTTGTATACCGCGCCTTCGTGAATTTCAGACCTCCTTTTTCTATTTTCCATACTTTTTTTAAATTCATTTTGAAGTCTAAGATAGCTCCACCCGCCGATCGTATTAAGAATTTCATTTGCCGTTGGCCGTTTCAATGGATCCTGAGCCCAACAACGAATCATTAGATCTCGATAATATTTAGGCATAACATCAGGAATAGCCGGCCGAATTCCATTACAAATATCGAAAATGAGCGCAATATCATGACTACGGTTATTAAACGGACGTTCTCCATTCCAAATTTCCCACATTATCATCCCAAAGGAGTAGATATCGCTTGCAGTAGTATATTTTTTGGTTTGCAGGACTTCTGGTGCAACGTATGGTATTATGCCAAAAACCTCATCATCTGTAATTTCAGTAATTTTTCTACATCGTCCAAAATCGGTTATATAGAAAAAATATAAACTGCATAAAATATTGCCACTATGCAAGTCCCGATGAATGTATTGACGTTCATGTAAAGATTGTAATCCTATAGTTAAATCAAGTAAGTGGTCATGTAAATAACGGTAGAAGATATTCCCGTTTTTAATTAGATCATATAGTGAACCGTTTGCATAAAAGCGTAGGACTAGTATATAATTTTCCGTTTCTGAATCTCTAGAAATTCCAAATATTCTCGCCATCTTATTAAACTGACTATTGATAACGGCAGATTGAATCTATACGTTTAAATAATATAAGTTAATAATAAAATTTTAAATTAATTGATTCAAAGTCAATATCCACTTACTTCTTGAATTGTATTAGAATTTGCATTACTTGAATTGAATATCATCTTTAGTGCAACAAGACTTGGTCCTGATCGAATAAATTTTCTTTGATCTTTATTGAAATTAATTACATAACCCGAACTCCAAATTGCTTTTGATACGCTGCCAAAACCTCCTTCAGCAATTAATTCTATTCCATTAAATTCTTCATACTCAATCCACTCGAGGAAAGGTTGAGCCTCTTTAATAATTTTATCAATTTTTTTATTTTTACTTGTCCTTGGAGGAAGATCACAGGTAGAGCAAAACTTATAAACATTCAATTCTTCATGACACTTTGAGCAATTCATATTATTTCATAAGGGTAAAGTTTAAGTACAGTAAACTTCTCTAAGTTGACCCTTCCTTAGACAAAATCTTCTTATATCAAAATTATGTCGTCTGTAGAAAAATTTATGATATTATTAGTAGTTTTTCGATTTTAAATGCCATTATAACCATTATATTTATTTGTTATCATTAACCATTATCAATTCAAAAAACGTTAAAACAAATAACGTAAATAATATTATAATGCTATTGAAGATTCTGTATATTTAATTAATTTTCATTTTTAATGTACATTTACAAATACTAACGCTAACGCTAATACGTTAAACAACGACAAATATTTACGTTAATTATTTGCTAAAAAAAGTATATGTTGATCTATACATTTATGTCTAAGTAATGTACCCCTCTGCAGTGATACAGGAATTTTTTATTGCCCCGTGAATGTTAGGAAACTCGGGGTATTCGATACGAATTTATGTCAAGTCTTATAAAAATAAATTGGCCACTACATATACTAACTACACGTAATTATTAAATTATAGTTCTGATTGGTATACTAAAATGTATGGTGCTATAATACATATATCATTATAACGATATACAACACAGCAATGAAACTGGTTTTTGAATTTGTATCGGTATATATATATATGCATGTATTAAAAATCACCTCATTATAGAACAATAGTCCAACCGTGTTCTTAGAGATACGACAGTAAATTGCTATCAAGCATCCATCAATATATAATATTTTCGGATATTCTTAATGTAGAAAATTCAGGATAAGCTGAGAAGCTCACAACAACTAAGTTTGATTTATAGTCAACCTCGATATAATGATATCATTGAAAAACATATACATGATGTAAATTTTTTGAACAAATTATTGTTGTGCCTAAATTGTAGCTTTTCCGGTCCTATCTAATTATAGTTCGGATCTTTATTTTATATCAAAATGTTTTTTATCGCCCTGAGAAAGTAGAATTTTAGGATGTAAAATATGGGCAAAGCTGAAAGATGCTACCTGTTTAAATTTGAAATTAATGAACCGCCACATATCTGAACCCAATGAAACTAAAGTTCACACGTTGTAAATCAAATGATGTCGATATTGTTCAAATTTGTATACATGTATGCGCCATTCAAGAACATCAATTTGTGAACAGTGGTTTGCTATAATTATCATTTAATCAAATACATGTATCGGTACATGCTTTTTTTGAATGCTACAGAACGCTTTTTAATTGCATCAAATAAACTATGTTTTTGTACATTAATCCAATGACTTTGATTTATTTTCACGACGTTACGAACCTCTTTATAACGAACGCTTTAATTTTTAAATTTTATATTAGTCATTATAAAAAGCATAGCGAGCTCTATAGAAAATATAGTAACTTTATATAACGAACTTTTTTAGAAGAACCACCAATTCGTTATAGAAAGACTCTTGATTAAAATTTACTTTGGAATTTTAGGTTTTTCTTGATCTTTGTGCTTGTTTCGGATTATGAAAATAGCATTAGAATATTGGCAACTGAAGATAAATCATATTTTGTCATATGCAATTATTAAATATAACTTATATACTAAAGAAGTAAGACTATGTTATTAAACAAAATTCTGGAAGATGCAGATTTTTATGTGAAGTGTGAGAAAAAGTGCCCGGAACTTTTTCGGAATTGATACTTAGGTTTCGGAATCTACTCGGAATTACCGCGCAATTGAGAAGGAATGGATACCAATATTGAATTTTGGTATAAATCTTTTTTCCTTAAATACAGAATGACTTCGGAATATGATACAGAATTTTCCCAGACCAACGGAATATGGGGCTGATTCAGAACCCAAATTCGGAATTGTTACGTACATTACGGAACAGTTACACAACTAAAACCAAAACCCAGATTCGGAATTATTACACAATTAATTTATATATTACATAAGGGGAGCGCCATTTATCAGCTGATATTTTTTTATTAGAAGCGTCCCCTCCCATCCCCCTCCTGATCTCCAATCAATACTTTAGCAGCTGATGATCAGTTGCATGCGCGTGATGATCAGCTGCATGCGCATAATGATCAGCTGCATGTAGCTTTTACTTTATATTACGTATCTTGCCATTGTGCATCCATTAAATGTAATAAAGGCAATAATGCAAAGTTTTTTAATTAATCCCAAATTTCAACAAGACTTTCTTTTATAAAAAGCCCCAAGATCTGTACCAAGAGTTTTACAATGTGTTTGCATATTATAAATAAGCAATGCTATGTGATCTTAATCCAAACTGCCAAAAACTTATGCAAGAATATCTTATGACTTGAAAACAAGTTAGACACGAAGATAAACTATTAATTTATGAGAAAATACAAGAGTATTTTGACACTATCCTCTCTCTTATTCATTCTCACTAATATTATTTTGTATGAAGTAATATGGTGAGCTTTAGTTATACTTCTTTACCAGTTGATATGCCATCTCTCTCACAACCCACCATCACATTACCAAAGAAAACCATAAGCCAGCATGATGCAACAGAGAAAATCAAAATTACTACTAAAAATTTGACAGAGTATGAATAAATATATGCAATTATAACAAATAAACTGTTTGAAGTAACCTTTCTATTAAAAATTATCACCAAAAAAAAGTTGATCAAGAAATAAGAAACATGACTTAAAAAGCTTAAATATCATGCTGAAGCACAAGCAAAACTTACAGTCAAGAAAGCAAAATTACTTGAAGAAGGAGTGATAGAAAAGTATGATAGATCTGGAAAACTATTAATAATAATGCTTTATCAAGACTTGTGGAATAAAATTCATGATTATGTTGAATTTGAAGTTGTATATACAAAAAGAAGAAAAGTTATTATTAAAATATATACAATAAAGCATCTTTACCAGGTATTAAAAGAAAAGTATAATATCTATCTATCTTACTAATACATGTCAATATATCTCAAGCCTCATCACTCACATACTTTTATTGCATGTTATCATCATCATTCAGTCAAGGTTGGTCTTATCTTCATAGTGTGAATAGAAATGAAAACTCATATCAATAAATATTATTATTTAGTCTCTGTCAAAGCTATCTGAACTTTTGTTAAAATTTTTATAGATGAGACAGTTATCATCTTTCAGGATAACAAGGCAAAGATCAGCTTAGATATCCTGGTAGTTGATCATATATTTAAAACTATGCAAATAGTTAATGAATATATTTCTATCACGAATCATGATTTTCTAACTGATAGTAAAATGAAGCTCATATCCTCTATTTATCTTGTTATTAATCTAACTGACTCAAATAATATCTTACAATTAGATTAGCTTACAATCTTTATTTGATCAGAATATTTTATTAGTATATTATTATTGACTCACATGTCAGATTTTCAAAGTATTATTACCAATTAACAGTTTACTATAGCTTTAATGAAAGAAGAGCAAATTAGATCCATCTGGATACTTCTTATTAATGAAGGATCTGACAAAAATCCAAAATACATAAAGAACATAATCTAATATTGTAATCTTTTTTATTTATTTAATCTTAATTATTTGATTATTCATACTAATACTCCAGGTCAAAGTATGTATAATTCTGTTAAATATAATATAATTTCTCTATCTGAAAAGCTTGCCAGTATTATTTTATCCATCAATAAGTTTGAATCACATCTAAACAATCAAGAAATGGTGTTGGATGATGATTTGACCTGCAAAAATTTCAAATTTTCAGAAAAAAGTTTATGTGATATATAGAAATAAGATAATATATATAGCAAGCCTATTATAGTTGAGTATATTGACCAAGAGAGATAACTATTTATTGAGATAGAGTCTTTAATATCATGAGAATAGATTAAAAATTATATGTAAATATATCTGTAAGATTATTTTGTTAATGTTTGTAAACAAGATAAAATGCGATATGAATAAGTTTTAATTTTATAACTTATGAT